GAGCTCTTCCCGTGGCCCTGTCTGCCCCGCGGGAACCCCGTCAGCGCCCATGGCATAGGGACTAGCAGTGGGACGGGTGCTGCCAGCGCTCCTTCCCATCTCCCAGCCCAGTCCCTGCGGGGTGGGGAAGGGAGGACCTGCCCTCTCTGCCCCGTGGGCTCGCTCGCTGGCCGCGGGCGCTGCGTGTGTGCCCACTGTCCCCTCCAGCACCGGCATTGCTGCCCACCCTTCCTGCTCCTTGCTCTCAGGGACAGCACTGTTAGCATCACCAGTGACAACAACACCCATTTCCCTCGAGTCTCTCCCCCCAGAGCTGGCCACCTCGTGCTCCTCACTGCTGGTGCCCCCCGGCTCCTCGCCGTGGCTCCCTGGCTCTCCCAGCCTGTCGGACGCGTGGGCTGTGCCAGCGCTGTCCCTGCCAGTGGGCACTGGTGGGGGGGAACTGGCTGGGGGGGGGGAAAGAGCCCAGGGAGCGAGGCCATGGGCTGGAGCATCCTGCCCAGGGCCTGTCCCCATCAGCACAGCTCCCCAGGGTTCATCTGGGGGCTGGGGGTCGTGGCTGTTTGCAGAATCATGACTTGTGGTGCTTTGGGTGGGCAGGTGGTCCTCAGAGGGGGACACCAGCATTGTGTCCTCTCCCTCACCCACAAAGTCAGGGATGGCATATTTGGGAGCAGCTGTCCCCACATCCTCAGGGATTACACTCAGGAGGTTGTTCGTGGCTAAACCCCCAGGCTCCATCTCTCCTTCCCCATACGCAGGAGCAGAAGTGGTTGCTTTCCTGGTCACCAGATGGTCCTCACTCACTCCTCCTCCCGGCTTGACAGTGTGCAGGACATCAGTGGGCATCTCACGGGACCCCTCCACGTCGTTGGGGCTCAGCTCTGGTTTATGCTCCTCCTCTTTGGTCTCCTTTTCCATGAAGGGATAGTAGGACAGATCCTCATGAAAGTTGATAAAATTATAATCATAGTAAAAATCATCCACAAAGACATTTCCCTTCTTGGTTGAGAAGTCCTCCTCGGTGATGATATTGACATCGTTGGACTCTGGAATGCTTGGAATTAAGGGGTTAAATTTAGCAATGTGGTTGCTGGGGATGTAATGGATTTCATTGAATATCTCTCTGCTGGAGGAGCCACTGCCAGACCAGTCCATGTTGGCATTGTCTGATTTCTTCTGGCACTGTGGCAAGGAGCAAATATTTTCCGAGCTGGGTCTTGCTGAGGGGTCACAAGCAGCTCCAGTGCTGTTGCTGCAGTAAACTGGGCGCCGCTGTGTCCCATTGCCACACGTGGCAGAGCACTGGGAAAGGAGGAGAGACACAAACGTCAGGGATGGATGGAAGCACGGGGGATGGAGGGCGCAGCAGGAGCAGTGGGGAAGGGGCTGGCAGCAGTGCCACAGCAGCACCCATCACCAGTGCTCCCCTCTGAGATACCCAAGTGGGTGCTCAACCATCCCAATGTGCCACGATGGACACAGGGAGAAGGGTCTCCATGTTGCTCTGCCATGCTCCCACCACCAACCTGGGTCCTGAGACATCTCCTGTGTGAGTCTCACCTGTGGCATGGGGTCCCCTGTACCAGGAGTAAGGAGCAAGGGGTACTGGTCACACCAGTAAGCAGTGTTATTACCAGCCAAATCTACCCCCAGGGCTGTCTCCCTGTCAGAGCCCATCCCAGTGCAGGGTTGGTATCACAGGGTACTTTGCTCAGGGTGACCTGTGACCCACACTCCAGCCAGAAACAATTTTCCCGGGAGATGGATGTTGTGAAGGGCATTGGGTGAGATGATCTCATAGCACTTTTCTGTGACCTATCGCCATGAATTGCATCTCTTCTTCTAGAAAAGAATTTTTTGAAGCTGGGGATAATAACATGGGTGTTGTCCTAGCAGGGGAAAAAGCAAGGGTCAGTAAGCAGCTCTGCTGAGGACACTCCCTCCTCCACCACAATGGTCTCTTTGAGATCGTTCAGTACAAAAGGAACCCACAAGCTGGAAAGAAGGACAGCAAAAATTTCCTGCTGGATAAGTAAATCACAGCAATACTGACATCACATGTGGGCTGCACAAGCCACAGGCCACGGCAGTTTGTGGTGACAGATGCACAGAGCGTGAGTCATCAACATCAAAACGCCTTATACAGCATCCCAGAATGGCCTGGATTGGAAAAGCCCTTCAAGCTCATGGAGTCCAACCATGAACCCAACACTGACAAGTCCCTGACTAACCCATGTCCCTCAGCACTGTGTCTACACGACTCTTCAATCCCTCCAGGGATGGGGACTTCACCACTGCCCTGGGCAACCCCTTCCAATGCCTCAGAACCCTTGCAGCAAAGAAATTCTTCCTCACATCCCATCTCAACTGCCCTGGCCACAACTGGAGTCCATTTCCTCTTGTCCTGTCCCTTGGGCCTTGGTTGAACAGACCCACCCCCACCTCTCTCCACCCTCCTCCAAGGGACTTGCACAGAGCCAGAAGGTCTCCTCTCAGCCTCCTTTCTCCAGACGAGATGTGACCCAGCAGCCAGGATCCCCAAGCCATGCTGTGCCACACTGGCCATGGTCTCCCCAGCTCTGTGTCTCCTAGGCAGAAGCAGAAATGACCCTGAGGACGGTGCTTGGCAGGAGGGACAGTCCACACCACCTCATGGCCACCAGCAGGCATTTCCACCAGCTACGCAATGTTGCTGAAATAAAACATCCCTGCACATCAACATCTTCAGGAGGGGTGTGAGCGAGCACTTCTCCCTGCTGGGATGGAACTGCCGAGCCAGGGAGAGCAGAGCTCAGCTCCACAGCGAAGCTAAAAATTCCCAGCAGATGCCTCCAGCTCTATCCAGGAGACAAATTCCAGGTACCACAGCTCTCGCAGGAGGAAGGAGGGGGATTATTTGCCAAAGCTCGGTTATCGGGAAAGCCTCCAGGACACAGATAAGAAGGGCTGGCTGTGAGGAGCCTCATGGAGGAACACCCAGAGCTTGGAGGGGTATCAGGGCAGGCTGCAGACTGCTCCTGTCAGGGGACAGACACACCATCGCATTGTCCATGTTGTTCATGGACAACAAAGAGCACTTCTCGTGACACTGATAGCTTTGGGAAGTCCATAAAGCTGGATATACATTGCTTTAGGCTCCTTCTGAAGGCACTAAGTCCCAGTGTTTAACCCTTTGTTGGGCTACCCAAACAGCAAAAAACCCCTTCGGCTTCGCGGGCTGCCCGGGTGCTGCTCTGCCCCCCAACATTTTGGGTTATCATCGTTGGGCAGAAGGACCACCTTTCTGGGAAGCTTCCAAGCCCCTCAAATTTCTCTCTTTACTGGTGGTAGTGGTGGAAATGGAGAAGAAGGAGGGTTCTCACTTCAAATGAAAGACAGACAGAAAAATGACAGACATCTCAAAATCTCCAGCACATTTTTCCTGGGCCCACAGATCCATCGATGCCAACACCACAGAGGACACCCCTGACAGCACGTTGGCTCCATGTGGGCAATTCACCGTTTTCCCTTTAAACTGCTGCAGCCCTTTCCCACCCCTACACTTGTGGCTTTTGTGGGGCCCTAGAAAAACATTTCCAACCAGCTCTCACATTTTCTGTTCGCATTTTTATTCCCTTTGTTCCTTAGCAACAAGCTCAGTTCCCAGGCTCTCCCATTTCTCTCCCGATACTTGTCTGCACGCTGAAGGCTTTTTGGAACCGCTGTTTAAATCAGGAGTTGTCATTTTCTGGTTAAAACCCTCAGCCTGTGGTTCAGCTGATCCACAGAAATACAAAAATAAGCAAAGACTACCCGGGTGTCCACAGCCCGTGGCATTTCATACCCGGGGGTTGGTTTTTTGATCTCTCCCTCTCTTTTTAAATAAATTGTTGAAAAATCTGTGATTCCCACTCCCTGGGCGTGTCGCTGAGGGGGGGTCTCTGTCTCTGCCCACCCCTGCAGCAGAGTCAGGGTAGCTTGGTCCCAGCAACTGCTCATGCTGCCAGATGCCAACCGGCCGGCACACGCGTGCCCGGTGCGCCCAGACCCCTGCTCACCCCAACACCTTGTCCTCAGCAGGATGGAAATATCTTTCAGGTTCTCCCAAAGCACAGGGGATGGCCTGTGGTGCTGGAAAAGACCCCGAAGGGCTGAAACCCTCTTGTTCTGCCCACCTTGCACCAAGCACAGAGCGTGGCCATCACCCCAGCTGTGGATGCAGCAAGGTTCAGAGAGGATGGGGCAGAGTCAAACAGCTCGATGCTCCATCCTCACTCCGAGACCTCCCTGTGCCATGAAATTCCTGTCCGTGTGAGTTGGTGTTGCCACATGAGCCCACAGAATCACGACCATGATTTTTCCCTTTAAGCAGGAGCGTGCCCATCGCTCTCAGGCAGGTTACAGATGTCCTGGGGGTACTTTGTCCCCAGCTCCCACCAGCTCTGCAAGACACTGGGACCTCCCTGATGTTCCTTCTCACCTCAGACCAGTTGCCCACAGCCCACTGTGAGGGACAAGGGACCTCCCGGTGACAGGGTGCGGTGGCATCTGGCTTGGAGAGGTGCTGGCAATCTGCTTGTTGCAAGGCCCTCTGCTCATCCAGCCCCACGCTCTGGATGCAGAGCACTGTCCTCTTCATCAGCCCCCACTGGCCGCAGGTGGCCGAGCATTTCTGCCATTCACCGACCCACCACCTGGGGAAACGTGGAAGGAAAAACATCTCAGCTCCGTGCCAGGCTCTGCCACGTGCCCCACCACGCCGAGCACCACGGGGTGGTGGGCTTGAGCCATCTCCTTTGGGGCCAGGAGATGTTCATGAGATGGATGTGGGCTTCAGCAGCCTGTAACAATCAGCAGGGTTGGGGGTCATGGGGGAATCAGGATCCCAGCTGCAGCTGGTGTTTGACCGAAGGCACCCAGATCAAGAGTCAGGGATGGAGGAGGCCCCATGTTGTGCCAGGGATGGTTATTTGCCCAGAGGCACATGGGGCTCTTGGCTCTGCCAGGATGGTGCCTTCTGGTGTGGCTCGTGGTCTGCGGACCAGTGATGCACTGTGGTGGTCGGGCAACCAGTGGGATGTGCTCCCATGGACCATCACAGGGTCTGGGACCCATTCTCAAGCACAAGGGAGAGGAGAGGTGCAAAATCAGGGGTGCAAAATCAGGGGTGCAAATGCAGAGGTGCAAAATCAGGGGTGTGAGCAGCTGCACGTGTCCTGGTGCAACACGGGCACTGCAGCGACCGAGGTCCCCCCAACCTCAGTCACCCCCTTAGGGCAGTTTGGACATGAAAGCTCTGCCAAGAAGGACAGAGGGGAAAGCCAGCGGACCTGGCCGGGCAGGGCTCCTCGCTGCATGTCCTCTGCTTGTCATCAGGGCGGGAGAGCGCGTCGCAGTACCGCTCCTCCACAATGCCAGCCAGCTTCTCCACACAGTGCACGACCTGCCGCTGCACCCCTGCGGACACAGGCACGGGCTTGGCTTGAGATGGAAACTGAACCAAACCACTGAGCATCCTCTGCCAGCAGGTGACAGGTGGCCCTAAGGTCAACCTGAGCCACCAAAACCAGAGGAAATAAAATGAAACCACCACTGAAACTGGAAGTCAAGAGCCCGGTTCTGCTGAGGTACCGATGTTGTGCTGGTTGCACTGGGCCAGCACTGGGCTGGCAGTCAAAACCAGACACTCGCTCACCCCCGCCCAGGGGACAGGGGAGAGAACTGGGGGGCAAGGGGAAGGAGATTTTAGGGTGAGAGAAGAACTATTCCATCATGGAAAGAAAAGAAAACTTAAATGTGGAGTCCCCATCCCTGGAGGGGTTTAAAAGCCGGGCAGACGAGGTGCTCATAGATCTGATTTAGCAGTGGACAGGTACAGTTGGACTCAATGATCTCAAAGGTCTTTTCCAGCCAAACGATTCTATGATTCTAAGTGCTCAGGAGCTTGTGGGGCTGATGGCTGAGCCTGAGCTCTCCCAGACCCAAGTCCCAGCTCACACTGCACAGACCAGTGCAGGCACCTGCACAAACTGCAGCAAAGAGCTCTCGGAGGAAACGTCTGTAAATACCCCGTCAGCTCCAGGCCGGGATCCACCTCTCAGGAACGGGCAGGAGACACCCCGACACCCCGCAAGGACAAGAGCCTGAATTTCTTTTTTTCATGGCAGTTGCTATCAAGGAAGCACTCGCCAGTCCCAGCCTCCCCCCTTGCAATGGACCCGGGCCATTTACCTCCATCAGCCACCCCAAAAGCTGCCCCGGGATGTTTTCCCCCCCTAAGACCTCCTGAAACCAAAGACCCAGGAATTTCTTAGGGCATCCCCAGGGTACAGGGATGTTCTCCCTGCTCTGTTCTTCCACCGCCAGCAGCCAAGCCCCAGGGTCCCGCAGCAGCCGGACTCACCGGTGCCGCACGTGGCGGTGCACGTGGTCCAGGAGCCGAAGCGCCAGAGGAACTCTGCCTGCTCGATCTCGTTCTCGCTGTCGGCCGGGCGCTGGATGGTGTACTGGTACCGCACGCCAGGGTTGGTCTCCTGAAACAGCAGCTGTGGGGACACAGAGGGTGGTCAGGGAGGTGGCTAGTGCAGGGCAAACAGGGCTAGCCCTTGTACCCCAGGGGCTCTTCCAGAGATGACAACCCACCCAACATGGCCACAAAGACATCATTCCCCATCTGGCTCTGGATCAAGACTGCGTTACCTGTACCCCAGCAGCAGCACACAACCACTTCAGAAACGGGATTAACCAACATCTGGAGCAGTGGAGGAGCAGAGGAGCTGTCCCAACTGCTCCTGCTCAGAGCGCTGGGCTTGTGGAAATGTTCCTCTCCTGAGGAAGAGCCTGGAAGGATTCCCCTGTTAATCCCATCCAGTCCCACTGCCAAATACAGCCCCATCCAAGGGCCACAAAACTGGGGAAGGGTTTAGAGGGGAAGCTGTATGAGTAGAGGCTGAAGCCACTTGGGGTGTTCAGCCTGGAGAAGAGGAGACTGAGAGGACTGCTCCTGCAGTTGACACAAATCCTGCCCAAAGCACGTCCTGCAGCAGCGCTCGCCCAAGGCTGGGAGTTAAACCTTGTTTTTCTTAGCCTAAGCGCTCCCATTATTGCCAAAGCTTTGTTGTTCTTGGACCTTTGGCAGGAGGGAGGGTGTCCTTCCAAAACCTCCTCATGAATATTGAAACATTGCTGTCAAAGGGTTTTAATTAAGTTATGAAACCCAGAAAATGATCTGCGGGTGCTGAGCACACCAGCGTCCCCTTTAACAGCAGCACTTGGCAGCAGACAAGCCCAGGATCCCGCTCCCATTTCACCCCGAGCCTCTGCAGAGAGAAACAGCCTGGAGAAGAGGAGACTGAGAGGAGATCTCATCATGGTCTAGAGCTTCCTCCCAAGGGGAAGAGGAGGGGCAGGCGCTGATCTCTTCTCTCTGGTCACCAACGAATGCCAGGAGCAGAGGAAATGGCAGGAAGATGTGGCAGGGGAGGGTGAGGTTGGCCATGAGGAAAAATTTAACTTTTTTAAATGGTTTGGGGTTTTTTTGGACTATGTGGTGAGTTGTAACCTCTCGTGCCCTCCCCTGCCCTGGGAGCTGTGACTGATCCAGGCAGCATCGCTCCCCGATGGGACTCACCTCCTCAAAGCCTTGGGGGTCTGGTGACCAATTATGACTTATTCTGGGGAGTGAAGTATCTTTATGGAAATTCCCACGTGTGAAAAAGAGTAAAACTTGAAGTTTCTAAATGTTTCAGAGGATTTTAAATGTCCCTTTTTGGTTTTTACCACCTAACTCAAGGGCTTTGTGAGGAAGCAGAGCCTGACCTGCAGCACCCTGGGTGGCATCACCCAGGTTTGGACCACGGAGCAGAACCTCAGGGGCTGAGCTCCTCGCCACAGCACTGGTGGGACCATGGCAGTGCCACTGGGTACTGGTGGGCCACCCTCTGCCACCACACACGGTACCGTGGTGGCTCCCACTGCCTCCGCCGGCTGCTCCAGCCCTGCCAGCAGCACTGCGGGCTCTTCCCCTCCTCTTGATAAGATACAGGAAAGGCCTCAGGAAAGGGGCTCCTTCTCCTCCTGCTCTCTCTGCTGTGTAAATATCGTGAGGAATGCTGCACGGGGGACAAGGCTCAGCTGGAAGCAGCGTGGGCTGGAAACGCTCCCCGGGCCAGCAGCGTGTGTTTGGCTGCTCCCAACGCTGGAGAAAATGTTTCTCCCACAGAAACACACTTGAGAGATCACAGAATCCCAGACTGGTTTGGGTTGGGAGGGACCTTAAAGCTCATCCAGTTCCAACCCCCCTGCCAGCAGCAGGGACACCTTCCACTAGACCAGGTTGCTCAAAGCCTCATCCAACCTGGCCACAAACACTTCCAGGGAGGAGCAGCCACAGCTTCTCTGGGCAGCCCGGGCCAGGGTCTCACCACCCTCACACCAAACAATTTCTTCCTCACATCTCATCTCCATCTCCCCTCTGCCACTTTCAAGCCATCACCCCTTGTTCTCTCACTCCCTGCCCTTGGCCAAAGTCCCTCCCCACCCTTCCTGGAGCCCCTTCAGGTACTGGGAGGCTGCTAGAAGGTCTCCCCGGAGCCTTCTCTTCTCCAGGCTGAACAGCCCCAACTCTCTCAACCCGTCCCTCGGATGTCAGTGAAGTGCTGTGATGGACCATGGCAGCTCAGCCCCACACGAGAAGGCAGGAGATCCATCGACTCTGTTCCCTCCATCCTCCCCACCACACACCCCGACCACCAGCAGCGCCCGGCCATACCTGGATCCACACGGGCTCCACGGTGGGCCCTGGGGACGTGAGGTTCTCCCAGTTCCCTGTTCTCTTGTAGGTGAAGGTGGTTCCCGCCACCCTGTAGTCCCCGTTCCACTGGATGGTCCAGCCACCATTCAGGAAATACTTCTCCGGGTCCTCGCTCCGCAGCGCCAGAAAATTCCCAGCTTCTGCGACTTCTTCAATGCGGATCTCCCGGGCTCCCACGGGGATAATCCCGATGTCAACGTAACCTGGGAATGGATCCGAGCGGTGGTCTTGGGGGAGTCAAAGATGGGGCAGAGAGGATCTGCACCCTCAAGTGCTAGCATCCCTCAGGTGGGGGCTAATGTCCCTTGGGTGGGTGCTAGTGTCCCATGGGTGGGTGCTAGCATCCCTTGGGTGCCAGTATCATGCCAATCCTTACATCTCCGTAAGGCACCAGCGGGCACCAAACCCCACCCTGCACTGAGCCCACCACAGAGCGAGACATTTCCCGCACAGGCGCTGGCAAGGCGTTGAGCACACATTCAACATGTCCTTGTCAACCCACAAAACCTCCTGAAACCTCTCCAAAGCAGCTCCAGCGTGCACAGATTGTTTTCAGGCTTTTAGACTGAAAAAAGAGCAGTAAGGGGATATTTTTCTTCCAAGGAGCAAGAAGTGGAACTGCAACACCTCATTTCACCGTGCTGCCGCTCGGGTCTTATCCCATGAAAATCAACAAGTCGTGATTAAAAAAAAAAAACCCTCTCTGGAACCGAGCCACAGCAGCAGTGATCCTGGCTGTGAGTGGAACAGGCACCTGGCGCTGTGGGGACAGAGCCGAGCGCCCTTACCCAGCCCCTCGCTGTCCTCAAAGGTCTTCTTGACGGTGTGGCAGGTGGAGCCGTCCCCGTGGCAGACGCCGCACCGGTCCTCCACCGCGTTGGAGTCGATCTCGTAGTCACAGCCCACGTTCTGCAAGGCAGCCCCGTCAGCCACCCGTGCCCCCACCC